GACCAAATGCCATCTCAGCAACAGCACTGGACCACCCATCTTTATCTCACCCTCCAATGTGAAACAAGTCTCTTTCTCTGAGATCTAACTTACACTGAGCTTATGAGTATTAAGTGAAAACAGTCCCCATGACAAGAGTGAAACTTCAATCCAAACACGCTTTCTGATGCAAGACAGGCACATCCAGCACCCACAAAGCTTGCAGTAAGTCTTCACATCACTCAAGTTCTACTGATACACAACCTACACATACAAGGTCCGGTTGGAGGAACTTCACTCTGTGTGTTGGACAGAACAGCTGCTGTATTATCACACAACCTAAACATACAAGGTCAGGTTCGGGTAACTGCACTTTGTGTGTTGGACAGAACAGCTGCTGTATTATCACACAAAAAAAGGAGAAAAGGGATACAAAGGCAATTCAGAGTGAACTCCATCCCATCTTGCAGGTTTCACTGCATCTCTCTGGTACCCCTGGTGATTACTACAGTTCTATTTATTGCTGAAGACACATGGATATGCAGTAAATATAATAATGAGTTACTTTATGACAACTACATTGAAACAATGGTAGGGAAACAAGCTACCAAAATGCCACAAGTGAAAATGAAAAGCAGAGCTTTGGTACAACAAAATTGGAAGAAAATTCTGGGCTACAAAATTTTACTTCCCTGAGTTTCTATGACAATTTGAGCCTTATTTAAATAAACTGTCTGAAATACATTTTTTAAAAAGGCTGTTTGTTTACGTTTGCTCCTGAACACATTTCTGTCGCTTACTGGCGTACTTCCTGCCCTTTCCTCTTCAGAAGCTTGGGAATATGAAGACGCTAAAGCCTGTAAATGCTTGACTCGAAGAATCTGACTTCCTGCCTAAACATATTTAAACCCATAGTACTTGCCAGACTACATCACCTGTGCAAGTTTCATTGCCTGTCATAAAATGGGTTGGCTGGAATAACTAGGCAGCTTACTTAGGGCAGCTGCTTGCCTGGAGATGAGCAGAAACATGCCCTTCAGAAACGAGGCTCTAAGAAATAAAGCAGAAATACAGACTAAGAAAACACTACCTCTTCCTAGTGCAGTTTTCCTCAGCGGTTCAGTTAGTTAATTGCCTCACCCCAAATTCCTGGTTTTCCTTAAAGCTCTGCTGTCTCCAGGAAGAGTTTTTGACAAGGTTCACTTTTTCACATGTTAAGTTTGACACAAACCAGAAGGAAACAAGCACTTATGAGCAATGGAAACGCATGGTAACAGATAGCTCCATGTTAATAAAAACAGCAACAAAACTCAAGCAACTGACAGTGGACATGTCAGGACACGGCTCCATCCGAAAAATCGAGGTCAGTGTAAACAGAACCCAAAGCATGCAGTAGGGAGAGCGAGTCACGGCGAGGGACACAAGCACTGCCTCACCTTCCTCTTGTCCAATGAGGGTATGGCTACCCCATTGGAGCGGTTAAGGTCTGACACCAGCACCTTCAGAATGTTCTGAATCTAAAGGAGGCGAAAGAAAAGGGGAAAGAGAAACGGCTCAGAAAAGGACAGAGAGAAAACGTCAATCAAAGGCAGCCAAAGAAACCGGCATCCTCCAGCTCGTTAGGAGCACGCACCTTGAAAGAGCAGCTCTGGACACACACAGGGTTGTGCAACAGCATTGTATGATCAGACACCACTTCGGCACATACCCTGACTCTAGCGTGCACCTTCCAGTAGAGGTAGTTGCTAACTATTGTAGCACACTTCGTACACTGGCAACACAGGCATCTAAGCCATTCATATATTACACCAGCATAACCCTTTCCTGGCTCTAGTCGTGTTGTTCGGGAAACCAAAGAACAAGGAGACGGCAAATTATTTGGGAGAAAGAACGAGACACTCACGTTCTCTGGAGGCTGCTGGTCATCGTTGGTGGGAGTCTCGGGTCTACTGCCTTCTTTAGTTTTTCGGTTTTTCTTGGTTCCTGCAGTTGCTCCAAGGTTATTCTTCTGCTGATATTCCTTCAGCTGTGAAAAAAGAATATGTGAAGTCCAAACAGAATATGCCTTCTATGACTATAATGTCAAAAAAACCCCAAACTCCACTGAGTAAAAAGACAGATCAAGTGTAAGGACAAGAGAAATGTCCTTCAAAGAGTTTGTCCCTCATGGGGGGGAATCAAAACAAGTCCAGAGAAGCCTAAAGTAAGAACTAGTGTGATGGCTTTATGACAAGAGGCTCAGAGTTGTAAATGTTCAACTTTTGTATACAGCTAATGATGTTCTTGGGAAACAATTTGATACTCCATACTGCAACTCAAAGGAGATTAAAAGAAATATTTGGGGTGGGGGAGGGTACGGTTATAACTGAGAGCAGTAAGGTAAAATTAATAAAGGGCAATTAATCCTGAATGCAAAGTGAAAAAGCAGTGCCTAATAGTAAGATCTTCCACTCTGTGAAAGATTTTAAGAAGGAAAATTACCGTCCCCACAGATAACATATTAATACAGATACTGTAATAACTGTGAACTAAGGGGAGAAGCAATCTACAACTGATTTTTAAATCATAGCCATTTTGCCCAGGAAAAGCTAGTCTGATAAGCTGTAACTTGAATCCTGCTAGGTCTTCCAGCATTTTTGTGTATGTTATTGAACATCTAAGCCCCAAACCAAGTGAGTCCCAGGTAGTTATATAAATTACCCACTTCCACCAGCACCCAACCACGCCATCTCAGACAAACCCCGCTGCGCCAGGCACCGGGCGGGCAGGGGACGGCTGCGGCCGCGCTTCGGAGTGAAGGTGGGGAAAAAAACAAGTGAGAAGAAGGATCCCATTATTCGGAGGATTTCAAAATGGAAGCCTGAACTGCTCCAGGACACTTTCCCATTCGTATGACTTTGACACAGAGGTGCATCCCGCCGGTACGGATGGGGCCAAGCCGCCCCGGGGAAAAAATTAAGGGAAAAAAAAAAAAGGGG